GAGACCCTGAGGTAGTTGCCGCGGATGACCTCGGCTTTTTTGATTTTGGGGATTCAGATGGTTGGGCCTCAGTACGCCTCTTCCCAACAGCAGACTGAGACTTGTCGCTCTCAGCTAATTTAGAGATCGGCAAGGTGTCCTCAGTTTCAACCCGAGTCACCTTTGCCTTTGGCTGAGCCTTTTTTATTCTTTTTTGCTTTGGTAGAGGCTGGGTTTGTGTTGGCTGAACATCAACGTCAGAAGGGTACTGGCTAAGAGGTCTTTTGCAACAGTTTTTTGGCGGTCCATCTCGGAAGAAAAAATAGTTCGTCGCCGACGTTGTCCCTGAGATGGTGGGATCAGGTATGGAGCCGAGGTTGACGGTTACTCAGCTAGATCAGAGGTTGATCCTTGGTCTGTCCGAGATATGGACGCGACTTGTGGAGTTATGGCAGAAGGTGGAGAAACGCTTTTCTTCTTCTTTTTTTTGGGGACGTTGGGAAGAGCCGACTTATAAATGGGGATGAAGTTGAGAAGCAGATGGGCCTTCTGTTTGAGAACTGGCAGGTCCAAAAGTCTCCTCAAGTCTTTGCTGGAAAAGAAAAACTGACGGAAGCCCTTTGGTGGCTGAGGAAGAGCTACAAGTGAAACAAACGTTAGAAGCAGATAAAGAATTAAAGACTTTGAAAAAAACTTTGAAAACAAATAAGTATGGGCGCAAGGCTCTTATCATTGCCCTCTACAAAAACGGTTCGAGGAAGAGGGTAAAGATGGAGGTCCTTGTCTGGAGCAAACTCCTAGTTCCCCGAGGTAATGAAATAGTCATACCCAGCTCCATTGTTGGAGTGAGAGAGGTCGGCTACGATTTTGTACCCCGTGGACCTCGGCTTAAGATAATAAATGTAGCCCGTATCTCTTTTGAGCCACACATAGTGTAGCAGTATTGGATATCGGTTAGGGTGATCCTAGCGTTTTCTTGTTTGGCTAAGGTTATTATGCCATTAATGACTCGATAGGAATTGATGGCAAGTTGCATTGGGTTCAACTTATAGTAATGGATTATCTCATGGAAAAGAATGTTTAGCGGAAGCTGGAGTCCGCACTCAATAAAAGCTACGACAAGGAAGGGCATTGAGTCAGTTGTGGGCATGATAGAGTCTTCCTCTCCAGCCAACCTCATATGAACGTCGGCCGGGATGTCAAACTCCTGCCTGAAGTGCTCTAATTTGCTCGGGGTGTCTACCCTATGTTTCCACATACCCATGATATCGGCTTAACTGAAAAGGTTGGATTTCAGAAGGGTGTGTTTCTAAAAGGTTTTATGGACCTCGGCAAAAACCAAAATTATGTGCTGGGTAAGAATTTGTGGAAATAGTTTCAGTTTTTCCTAAAAATCAAGGGTTCTACAAAGCAAATCCCAAACCTAGAACTATGGAAACGAAGATTGAAGGCACAAATCTGAAAAACAAAAAAGCAAGAATGCGCTTCAGAATCAATATCAGAGATGGACTATCAAGAACATTGTAAATACGAAGGGTATAAGGCCAAGAACAGTGGCATAAATCAACAGGAGTATGAACAGTGTATGAACAGTATACATTCAAGAAGATGATTTGGGTAAAAACAGAATCATGACACAAACATGTCCAAATATACGGTGGAATACAAGATACAAGGTGAAATATCAAAACTATGAACAAGATTGCAAAGATAGCAGGTAAAACAGTAAAGTTCAGTAAGGTAACAAGAAACTGAAACCAGGCGGAATAGTGGCTTACCAGAAAGAGGGAAGCTGGAATGGGGATTGCTGAAGTCTGACGACGGCAGTCAAGGTGGAGGATCGGTGAAAACCACGCCGGAAGAGGTGAACAACAGCGATGGCAGAGGTTGAAAGCTTGAAACAATGGAAGGTTTGAAAGAGCTAGAGAGAGAGAAAGCCTCAGAAACGATAGGAAAAAGTGAAAAGATGGAAGAGGGGAAAATGATTTTTGTTAAAACACAGAAATGACGGCAAAGAGGTTATTCATGTGCCTAGAAAAACATATGCATCAGACGGCGCACGTGAGGATGATTCGATTTACAGGTGCGTATCCAGTGCGGACTAATGAGAAAAAGACGCGTGGCTGAAAACGGTTGAGTTGTTATGCACGACAGCTCATACGCATGAAAGAGCACTTGGAAATTCTTGTTCTGTCAAAGGCATGACGGTCTGGATGAAGATCTCAATTGAGATATGTTAAGCCGACATAATGATAGTAAGTCCGATATAGGTTCCATCACCTCAGAATACCGAGGTAATAGAACCTAGGGGGCAATTGTGGGGATATATTTTCTGAGTT